GGGGCTGAGATCTGAGAACCAGGAAGCCTTATCCACAAAACCAATGTGTCCCTTGGCAGCACATCATAGCATGGAGCTTCTCTGCTGCAGATCAGAGCGTCAGGTCAGAATTCCAATCGGGCGTCACGGCCCATGCAGTTGGCATATAACATAGCAGTTGGCAGTGTTTGTATCGATGGTCCCTACCTACCCAGCAAGATAAGGCCTTGGCAAACCCACTTGGGCTGGCAGTCCTTGGCGATAAATTTCTCTTCTCCCAGGGTGTTAACTGTGAAGGGACCCAGAACCATACAAAGGCGGGAATCCAAGGGACCTTTGAGGTTATCTATTGAATGCAGGTTTGCAGTTTCACAGACGAGAAACTGAACTGGGAAAACAATAGAGAAAACTGGGTGTGGGTCTCCCAGGGTTTCCCTGACCCAGAGAGGATCCTCCACCTCCTCTCGCTGGAGTTGATCTAGGGACCGGAATCCTGGCTCATTTAGGGAGGCTCAGACCATGGGAAGTGTGGATCTCCTTTAGAGGAAGCAGTAGTGACTGAGGTGTGAGACTCTTCCTATATTTTTCTCCGGATCTGGCTCTCTTTCCACCTGGCCCCAGTTTTCAGGAGAATCTGAACGGGATGCAGCTCTGTGGTAGAGGGCTTGCCTAGCAAACACGAAGACCCGCGGTCATTTCTCAGCACAGGAGAGACCAGCAGACTGTGCTCCCAGTAACCCAAACAATTAGGAGGTAGAACGATCTTCAGTTACATGGAGATGTTATGGCCAGCCTAGGATAAATGAGATTCTGTCTAAAATGTGTGTGGAGGGGAGAGGGATATATATCTTCATGGTAGCGTGGTAGCATGCTTGTCCGGCATGGTTGGGACCACTGGCTCGATTCAAAGAACACATTTGCATGTGAGCTCATACACACAGAATCTGGCGGGGGCGGGGTTAGCCCATGGTTTGGTGTTAGAAATGATATACTTTTGCTGTTTGAGCTAGGGTCTTCCTGTGTAGCTTAGATTTGCCTCAAGTTCATGAGCCTCCCGCTCCAGCCTCAAGAGAGCTAAGTGGCAGGCCCTTGTCGCCACATCCATCGCAGGAAGGAAGTCTTCCCAAAGAGAACCTCAGTGTTCAGCTTGAGCCCCAAATGACTAAACTGCACACTCTTTGCTGCTTCTCTGAGGCAAAGCCGAGCAGGAAGAAGAAGAGAGATCCTGCTAGGGTGTAAATCGATTACAGCCATGGTTGTAGGGTGGTGGGTAAGAAAGACTGAGGTGGGATTCAGGCGACATCATCTTTACCCACCAGTCTACTTAGACACAAGAGTGTGAACAATGAAATCTCCCGGGGAACACAAAGACCTAATCTCATACCATTTCCATGGGCGTGTGTATGTGTGTTCTAGACGGTAGACAGTCTAGCTATGGGGCACAGGACCGGAAGGCATTGGGAGATTGATTGTGACTCAGCAATTGCAGAGATGGGGGGTGGAATCTGTTGACCATCTCCTGCGCCCAGGGTGAGCCTGAGCCCCAGGACAGAGGCCCGAAGAGCTGTCCTAAAGCAGCTTAGTTTTCTTCTCAGCTTGACACAAACTAAGGTCATCTGGGCAGAGAGACCTCAATTGAGACAATGTCCCCATCAGGTTGGTAAGCTTCTGGTGCATTTTCTTGATGAATGATTGATACAGGAGGGCTCACCCCCATGACTGGTGCTACCCCCAGTGCAGGTGGTCCTGGATTGTACAGAAAAGCAAGTTAGCAAGCCCTGACAGCAAGCCAGTAAATTTATTACCTACAGGTTCCTGCCACACTTGAATTCAGGCCTTGACTTCCCTTAGTATTGGGGACTGGGGTAGGGATGGGTAAACCAAATAAGCCCTCTTCTCCCACGTCACTTTTGGTCATGATCTTTACCATAGCAATAGAAAACGAAGTCTGACAGGCATTAATGATCAGCAGTTCTGCTCTCTCTCTCTCTCTCTCTCTCTCTCTCTCTCTCTCTCTCTCTCTC